TCTGGAAAGTGACTCGCCGTATGTAATTATCAAGAGTTAGGTCATCTATGACAGCGGTTTCTCAGGAAAGGGAGTTAAACTTGGTGATTCAGAGCTTAAGTTAATCCTCGACTTCTGCAGACTCAATGAACCAGGTAATAGATGTGGCCAGGAAGCCTCGTCTGGCCCCATGGGGGCTTCTCCCACCTTGGAACCATGGTCACCACCCATGTGTTATGGCTGGGCAAGCTCCCTGCCCCTGGTGCCCATGTCCCCCCCGACGCAGATGCTGCTTCTCTCCTGCTTCTTGTGCAGTTTTGGCCCYGTTGGCTGCACTCTCCACAGAAACGTGTCCTGCTGGACAGATACATTCTGCTGCTGCGTAAATATTTGTACCGAAAATGCCTCTCCCCGCGGAGGATTGCACAGCGCAGCCACGGTGGCATAAACACAGGGTGAAGGAGCACACGTCATGGACACACGGACACAGCCAGCAGGGCCGGAGAGTGGCCTTGCTTAGGCCCAGGAAGGCTCCCAAGGAGTCGTGCTGGTGGGTCATGCAGATGGCAAAGGAATCTTGGAACAGCTAGTCCAAGCATTGCTGCTTGTGGAGAGGCTGAGAGAGGCTCTTTACTACTTTGCTCCACCATCCAGGTGAAATTCTGGTCGCCACAAAGTCAGGGAATTGCTCTGGGAGCGAATATGTCCCTATGCTTCCTTCGCTTTCCTCGTGGGGGACTCAGGAAATAAGCACTGACTATATTTAGCCAAGGGCAATGCACTTGGCATTGCGCAGAGCTTCCTCCAGTGACATGCATCCCACCAAGGCATCTGTCATTTCTTGGTAGCTTYCCAAATGCCTAGTAAAGTCTAGAGAAATATTTCCCCTTTTTGAATTCTATATTTTTTTTTGCATCRCGGTTTGTTTCTCTTCCCTCACAACTTGCTGGGAAACTCCCTGGTTTGGGGCGGTAGCGTCAGTGGGTTTTGCCTGTTCACAGCTCGGGGGATGCGGCTCTTGGGAAGAGAAACGCGTTTCGAGTTGCTGCAGCGTGACTGGAGAGATGTGACCCATCAAAGAGGGATCAGGGCAGTTTGGGGCAGCCGCTGAGGAGGGAAGGAGGCTGCATCCTGGCCTGGCTGGGAGCAGGGAAGCAGCCTGGGGAGGCGGGAGGGACGGGCGGATGGAGCAGGAGACAAGTCACTGCCTCCTCCCTCACTTGGTTCAGGGTCCGTCTCTGCCTTGGAGCTGGAGCCTCCACAGCCCTGTGTCTTCCCCAGGTCTTCTCCTGCTCCACACACCCTAGACCTGGTCTTACTGGGTGTGGAAAACTAGTCACAGAATCCCAGAATGGCTGAGGTTGGAGGGAACCTCTAGAGATCATCTAGTCCAACCCSCCTGCTCCAGAAGGGACACCCAGAGCACRGGGCACAGGAGATTAGTTGGGAGAGACTAATCATATATTCCTTATTTATGAGCCGCCCACAGAAGTAGCTCCGGGAACAGAGTTGGGGGGTTGATGCTTCAAAACTCAACACAGACAAAACYGGAGTTTGCAGAGAGGCCGAACCAGCCCCTTCGCTTCAGCAGATGCTTTCRTCGCTGAGTGCCTTTGCAGGCTGTGGCCTCCTCCAGCTTCCCGCAAGGAGCCTGGGGAATTGCCTGCACGGGGGAAAACRGGATTTCTTTCCCTGGGTGCGGGGGCATAAGCCTGTCTCCACTCCGCAGCCCCGCAGCTCGTGCCTTTATTGAAGGCAGAGCTGCGCTGGACGAGCCGGAGCAGGAACCGCGGGCCATCGGAGCCGTGGTCGCCCAAGGCACCCGCTGCCCTTGCAGGACGGGTTGGAGCCCACGGAGGCGCCCGCRTCCCCGTGCCAAGGGCCGGCTGCCCCACTTGCCCTCTCACGTCGGTCCTGCTGCCACTGGGCAATTCCCCCGCGTTGCAGGAACTCCCCAGCAATGGGGAAAAGTGCAACTGCTCTGGCTAAGATAATACTGCAGTGTGAATCTGGTTGCGTGAATGGCTCCCCGCGTGGGAGTGGGAAAGGATCTTTATTGCAGAATTCCTCCAAATAATTCTTGCAAAGCAGGATCCGTAGTAAAGGTTTCTATTTTTAAGTACTTCTCTTGAGCATCTCCCGTGATTTTTGTTTCGTTCCTTCTGCCTTTTCCAGCATCTCCCACACATCTTTTCATTCCTTTAGTTCCTCTGTGGGCAAAACCTTTCATCTTCTCACCCGGATTCTTGAGGTCACTCTTAGTWGTTGACTAATCTTAACCTTTTCCAAAGAAATACGTTAATAGAGGGGAAAAAAAACCAATTTCTTTGGCCCGCTGCAGGTTTTTGAGCATGATGGAGCCCAAGCATCCCCCACAACCCATATTCCTGGGTGTGCTCCGAGGACATAAGCCTGAACAAACCCTCTCTTTTGATCACTGSACTTGATTTAAATTTGTGCCAGTTATTGGTGCAAAATGTCCAGGTGTTCCTGCCAAAACTCGAATGCTGCTGAGGAGGACAGGATCTGCCCAGGTTTCCGGCTAGCAGAAGTCCTGGCTTGTCTGCAGGTGGTACCAAGAGTGCACGTGTTTCTGCTGCTCGGTGAGGCATGTGGGCTGCTTTGGGAGAAGAGAAGAGCAAAGAAGAGAAGAGAAAGAAGAAAAGAAGAGAAAGAAGAAGAAAGAAGAGAAGAAGAAAGAAGAGAAGAAGAAAGAAGAGAAGAAGAAAGAAGAAGAAAGTGGGGAAGAAGAAAGAAGAAGAGAAGAAAGAGAAGAAGAAAGAACATAATGAGAAGAAGAAAAGAAGAGAATAAGAAGAAGAAAAGAAGAAGAGGAGAAGAAGAAAAGAGAAGAGAGAAGAAAAGAAGAAAAGAGAGGAGAAGAAGAAAAAAGAAAGAAGAAGAGAAGAAAGGAGAAGAAGCAGTGAAGAAGAAGCAAAGAGAAAGGGGGAAAAAAAAAAAAAAAAAAAAGGACTCCATAAAGAAGAGCTTCTTAACTGGATCCTCAGCTGGTAGAACCTGGAGTAGCTGCATGGAGGGCACAATGTGCGGGTGAAGGGTCCAGCGGCCTGTCCTGGTTCCAGGATCGGTGAACGGCCGAGAAAGCCTCGCTCCCTGCGGCAGGGCCGGTCTGTTCCTCACAGCACTAAGGCCTTCCATGCTATGAGTTTGCAGCCTCTCTGTGCAGCGTGAGCCGCTCGCCCTCGAAATGCAGCACTGGGGGGTCCCAGAGGGTGTTGGCACGTGTGGGACCCTGCGCGCATTCAGGGCCCCGTGGGGCCGAGCCGGCGCATCGCAGGAACCGCATCTTGGCGTCTGCGGCCACCACCRCAGCAGCAAGGGGAATCCGAAGGAAAGGTAACGAATTTGCAGAATTTGCAAGAACTCAGAAGGGATCTTCTGGCTCTGCCCTGCAGCAGAGGGTTGTGGAGGTTGGCAAGTTCACAAGGGAGGAAGGGAGGAAGGAAGGGAGTCTGGGCTGGCYGGGCACAGGAGAAGGTCCCGCCAGGGCCAAGGCTGCCCCTGCACACCAGCTCCAGCAGCACAAGCTCCTTCCAGGCCTCATCTCCGGAGAAAAGGAGGCCGCCTCCAACTCGCACCTGCATCCCAGGCTCAAAGGCTCTCCAGCCTCCCCGGGCAGAGGCCTCCACCAGTCCCATTCCTCGGTCTATAGCGGTAGGACCCGAGTCCTGGGCTGGGCTGGTCCTGGGCTGCGCCTGATGTTCCTCTTTGATCCCTTTGGTCGCCCCTGCGATGGCCTCGGTCAATAATTTTTGCCCAATAGGCTGTTAAAAAATGTGAAGAAAACCAGTTCTGGAAGCACCAGCACTTGGAGAGGTTGTTTTGCAAAGCACAGACAGTCCTGCTCTGCAAGTTGCTGGAGAGGTTTTCTGTGATTTGAAAGATTTTATTTTTAAAGGTTCCATTAATAAAAGGCTCAAACTGTTCATTTTCTGCTCAACCTCTAGAAATTTTCATATGCCTCAAATAAGCTTTTTTTTTTCTTTTTCTTTTTTTTTTTTTTTTTCTTTTGCTCTCTCTGTGTTAAAGAATCCGAGCCCAAATCCAGCCCTTCGGTATTAATAAAGTGAAGAGAGCTCATGTCTGCTCTCACTTTGGCTGTGGAAGGAGTTAAACTTGACTCCGAGGAGCATCTCGAGGTTCCCAGGGCAGACACTTGGATCTTGCTCCTTCTTCCCAAGTGTTCAACAGCTGGAAGAAACCAGGTCTAAATTCCAAAGCCACTTTCYAGACCGAGAATTAAAAGGTAGCACTCTACTAATTCACCTCCTTCTTGGCCAAAAGCAGCACTTTGGGGATGGGCAGCTGGATTTTTATTTCTTCATTTATAACGTTTTGTTACGTGCCCGGCTGCGTTTGGAGGCAGGAGCTGCTCCGAGCGGAACGTGTGGCCRGGATCGTGGTGCAGGGAGCAGCCCTGGTGGCCCCTCTTCCCCCGCAGGTGGCCACCAAGGGGAGGGCCCCTTGCCTCTGCTGGGACCCGGCCACCAGCACTGGGCGGGACTGGGGAGCACTGGGAGGGAGCTGGGGACGGAGGAGAGACACCCGAGGCTGGATGCAGCTCAGGTAGGTCCCTACCTCCTTCCTAACTCCTCCTCCTGCTAATTGCTGCACAATTAATTGCCTTGTTAGCTTGCGGMGGGGTGAGCGGAGCTCACACTCCTCCTGGACAGCTGATGCCCTTTGCAGCTCCATCCTGCTGCGTACAAAGAAAGCACCTGGGGCAACATTATTTATTATTTTTTTAATGTGATTTAATTGCTTTTTTTTTTAAGGGAGGGAGGTTGAATTGTGGCCGTGCTGATGCTCCCGGGCCCCCGTGGCCACGAGGGTCCAAGGCAGGAGGTGCCCACGGAGCTGGCGGGAGCAGCGGGCACGTTTCCCTGCTCCCTGCCTTTGCCTTGTGCTCCCTGGGAGCAACGCTCCTCACCGGCCTGAAGGAGATCCCGGGATCGCGGGTTTTCCATGAGAAAAGCGCCGCAGCCTCTGCTGGGTTTCAGCTCTGCTCTTCCTTCCCCSACTCCACAGAGCCCTCTTGGAGCAGAAGGAAAAACTCCAGCGTCTGTCACCGCTACAAGGAGCAGAGCAGCTCCTCGCCCGCCCCAAAATGATGGAAAATGAAGTGTTTATGTCATTTACGTTCTACAGCACGGTCTTGATCGTAAAAATGTACGTYGTTGCCATCATTACGGGACAAGTAAGGCTCAGAAAGAAGGTAAGTTCCAGTTTCCTTTTCCTTCCTTTTCTGGCTTTTTCCATAAGTTTCTGTTTTGGTTTGGTTTGGTTGCAAGTCCTTTCTGATTTTAATCCTTTAAAGGCTGGAGAGGTTTACTGGAGCGGCAAGTTAAGTTTTMTTCAACTCCAGCTGAAAGCAAATATTGTTTTATAGCGGCGGCAGATAAATATCTCGCTTTTCTGGGGCTCTTGTTGTTTGTTTCTGCTCTCTGTAGCTTGATGTTTATCGTTTCTGAACCCTAATCTAAATAGCAGCTTCAGTTCTAAAATGGCACGCAGGTGAGCTGCTGCTGGAAAGAGCTGCTGTTTGCTCCAGTTTAGAGTGGATTTGCTCCAGGAGAAAAGTGGAAAAGGGTTAAGAAAAGTGAAAAAGSCTTAAGAAAAAACCTCGGGTTGCAAAAAACAATTCCTGTGGCATAGAGAAAGCTTTTGTGCTTTCGGAGGCTGAATCTCTGCTTGAATGCCCCAGGAGAACGGAAAGTTGGGGGAAATAAAAACAATAGCGGGAGAAAATAGTTCTTGGGCACGGAGGGAATTGCAGGGAGGTTGGGAGCTCTGGCTGCAGTGCGTGTGCTGGGATAATCAGGTATTTTATCACCTGCAGCCCAACTTGAGCTTGTAGCAAACCTCAACTATCTGCAAAAACTGCTTAAAAATAGCTTAATAGTAGTAATATTAGTAATTAATACTAGTAATTACTAGTAATAGTCATTTAAGATCCAGCTGCATCAGTGGAGGGGAGATATTTGTGCTCTCGGACATAGTGCGGGGATGGATAGTTTTGTGCTGGACCATCATCACTGCAGGATTTGGCTTTTTCCCCTRTGTTTCTGAATGATGCCCAGTCCTGGAACAGTCTGGGCTTGTAACATGATTAAAGAAAGTGCYGGGGACTTTTCCAGGCTGTAAAGTCAACCTGTCGCGTGTAGCCAGGTCCTCACGGAACAGCTTCCCAACATAGGTGGGGAGAATGTATAAATCCTTTTTATTTCTGACGTTATTGGTTTGGATACGATTCCCTCAGGGCTGTTTTCCCCACCAACTATTGCTGTTAAAAAAACAGCCACRGAATTTTCTATCGCAGCTGGATTAGCTAATGTGTCACTTGGATGAATTCGGATGCTGCATCGAGCACCTACGAGGTGTGCGCCCTGCTCCAGAGCTGATCCTGTGCCAATGGAAAAGTCTCCTTGAAAGTGGTTGTGCAAAGGGAAGGGGACTAGGATCAGGGCTGCAAAGGAAGCCCAGGAGCCCCCTTGAAGCCCCTGGTTTGGGGTCTGCTCTGTGAGCAGAGATGGGGTTTTCAGATTAGGAAAACGCACGGGGATGCACTGGGGCTCCGGAGCTTGCGTTTTGCCTCCGATATATTAGTGCAATTGCACTTGTGTTTGTGAAARGTGGTGCAAAGCAAGGAGAAATTCCCAATGAAAAAAAATAAGGGCAAAACTTCAGCCTGTTAAAGATGCTGAAAACGTTATAAACTATCAAAGAAGGAGGAGGATGGATGAGAGCAGAAACTCCCAGCTCTGGCTGCTGTTAGGGCCTCCTGCAGTAAATATAATGGATGATGCTAGCCTGACGCCCCCTTAACATTCATGCAACATAAAAATCCCTCTTCAGCTCTGAATGCTGCGTCCAGCAAGGCCTGAGCTTACAAGTTATATGTGCAAACATGATGGAAAACAGACCTTTGATGGTTAGTCTCCCAAATATATGTTGTATATGGACCGCACAGACTGGGCTTGTGGCCTGGGAAGAGACCTGAGCATCTTGTAAGGCAATGAAACCATTTCTGCTCTGCTGTTTTGATGTTGCATGTGTAAAAACCCCYGAATTCAGCGTGTCCCCTCAGAGCCCTCCCGTGACAACCGTGTCTTGCAGGCGTTCGCCAACCCCGAGGATGCGCTGCGCAACGGAGGCCTGCAGTACTGCCGCGAGGACCCCGACGTGGAGCGCTGCCGCAGGTGAGCGGCTCATTAGTTAACTAATTACCTGGGTGGGTGGAACGGCTGGAGCTCCAGGGCAGGAGCCCATATGGCAGCTTAATGTTTAATGGGAGCGTGGTGCGTGCCAAAGCAGAGGAGCACGGAAGGGTTCGGGTTGGGGYGCTGATGGCCAATTCTGGCACCGTTATGAGATCCTGGGGCTCCTGCAGTCCCCTTGGGGCTTGGGCCTCTACCCCCAGGCTCCTTGTGGACCCTCAGGACCCCAAATCCCCCCAAATTCTTCCCCAACTTGGTCAGAGCAATCAGGTCGTGACTGGCGAGCATGTAGCTGCTCCCAATGCTGTTTGGAAACGTGAGAAGAAGGTGGACACGGTGGTAGGACYTTCTGCCTCGCAAATTAGGTGAGTCCCGCTCTTCAGTGGAGCTCCCCCTTGCTCAGGGTTAAACCCCAGAGTGTTTGAGCCCTGAGCTTCTTGCATTGCCGCCCCCGACTCCAGAAGGAGCTTCTCTCACCAGGAAAAAATGAAATAACAATGTTGTTAATAAGAATAACAATCCTCTTTTCATTAGGCAGAAAAGCCAAACTTCCAAGCAAATAAATTCTTGGAGCTCCAACAAAGGCGCGGGGAAGGCTGGGATTTAAAGAACTCAGGGTGGGTCTTTGCTAACTTGCACACAAGCAACAAAACACAAAGACAAATGAAAACACRGGGCTTTCTGCAAACAAAGGTGAAGCAGGACTGTCCTCTCAAGCCTTAGCAGGAAGGTTGGGAGGCTGCAACGCAGGAGCTGCTGGGTCTGCCCCGGGCAGGAGCGGAGCCGGGGCAGCCTGTCCCCCCCGGCCTGCTGAGGACATCCCGGCGGCTACGTGGCGGTCCTGGCCTGCCGAGCTCCTTTCCGTTCCTTTCTCCTCCCCTTTCCCATTTCTCCTTCCCGCCCTGCTGAACCTCTGCCATGGCTCAGCCCGCGGGGGGCTGTGTTTGGACGCAGCGCTGCCATTTCCCAGCAGAGCTGAAATTTGAAGAAAAAACGTGTTCATTACCCTCTTTTTGCTGGAGAAAGCTGGGGTGCAGCGGGGTTGGAGCATCACCAAAGACCTGGGCACTGGGGTAGAGCCCTCCAAAAACCTGGGCRCTGGGGTAGAGCCCTCCAAAGACCTGGGCGCTGGGGTTGGAGGTGTCTAACTGAGACACCTTTGGCCAACCTTGGCGTGGTGAAATCGGTGGCCACGCTGTTGCCAGGATGGGTGCCTGGGCATCTCCATATGCTGATTGCAGCAGCAGATGGGGTTTACGATATAATGTTCCTCTCCATTTTTTTTTAAGTCATTTTTTTTCAGCCAAGTCTGTTCCTGTATCTGCACTAGCGAGCTGTGACTGAGCATCATAAAGCTGCACAGCCACTTCTCTTAGCTTGCCCAGAAGAATAGCAAAGGTATCCTAGCCTGCAGGCAGTTAAACAAACAAACAAAAACTTCATTCAAGTAAGAAATTGCTTAAAATTTTCCCTAGATTTTGTGAAAATCCTGTGGCACAGGATGCAGAGGTGATTCTGACCCCCTCAAGCCTTCAGGGAGAGCAAGAGAATGATCCTCCAGAGGGGACAGTTTGTGCAGGGCAGTGCGGGGACAGGTCCCTGCAGCACCAGGGGACACAGCCCAGGGGTGGCAGCAGCCAGGCAAGTTAGCTCAGAGCTAGCCAGGGAAAAGGGGCTCCCAAGGGGCTCCCAAGGCCRTAGCAAGCTGGCTTTGCTGCTGCTCCATGATGCGGATTCCTGCAGAAATCAGCTCGAGCTGTTCCTCGGGTTCAGCTCCTGCTGGGCAAGAGGGGCTGGAGATGGTCCCTGCTGTGCCTTGGAAGAGGGTGAGTGATGGAGGTGGCTTTTGGATGCTCCCAGGACATGCAGCAGTGAGCACAGGGAACCGGGAGGACTTTGGATGCAGCAGAGCCTGGTGCCTGCGTCCCTCCTGTCTGTGCTGCSCCATCACCCTGGCGCAGGTCAGAGACCTCCTGGCAAGCCAAGGGGCACAGGGCTCTTTTCTGCAGGCTRGAAAGAACCTCCTGCATTGTAAGGAGACAAAACAGAGAAAGGTGGAGAGACTGGGAGCATGAGGAAAGCCGCACTGCTCTGGGGACCAGTTTTCACCGGGATTTCTCAGAGTCTCCTACCTCCCCATCCACGCAGGACAGGCTCTTGTAAAGGGGGAACCCTATCGATTTTGCCCTGGGAAAGGACAGGACACGACCTAAGTAAACCCGATCTGCTGTTATTTTGGTAGCAGCGATGTGTACAGATCCCAGAGCCGCTTCCAGGCGGGACCATGGAATTGGCAGGCGCTGCGGCGGAGCGCTCGGAGCGCAGGCTCTGGCCCCGGGTCTGTAAACAGGACATTGCACAACCCGTTTCACAGCTTTCACTCGTGTCACCGCGGTGCAACGGAGCGATGCACAGGGGCACGGAGGAGCCTTGGGGGCAGCTCTTGCTGCTCTCCTTTGGAAATGCCTGCAAAGGGGAGCAAAACTCCCATCCYGGGAGTTTCTCCTTTGCGGAAACGGCAGCCTGGAGGCTGCCCTTGCTGTGTTGCTTGCCCTTGCCACGTTGCTGTGTAACGTGGACACATGTGGGGCCGCGTGGCGCTGGCGCCTCGCCTTCCTTCAGCTCTCACCGCTTTGCAGGGTCTTTGTTTTGCTCTGTTTATTTAAAAAGTCTCCCCCTTGAGCTGTCATCCATCACGGCAGAGACGTCTCGGTCACGCGGGGCAGCTTAAGGCAGCTTTGTGAGCACCGCAGCCCCCTCGAGAAAGACCTCAGGGCTGAAATCTCCCTGCCTGCGTGTGCAGGGGGAACCGAACTGCTTTCGACAGCGCGTCCACCCCATCCAGTGGAGAAGAGGGCTACCTACCCTCCCGAGACTGGGCTTTTGGGCTAGAAAGGACGGGAGGCAGCAGGAGGTCCTGAGGGCAAGAACAAGCAAGTCTCTCTTTCCAGGGCCCATCGCAACGACATGGAGAACATCTTTCCCTTCCTCTTCCTCGGAGCCRTCTACTCCTTGCTGGAGCCCAGCCCCGCGGTGGCGAGGATCCACTTCCTCACCTTCTGCGTGGGGCGCCTGCTGCACACCGTGGCCTACCTGCTGAAGCTGAAGGCRCCCACGCGCTCCGTGGCCTACAGCGTGGCCCAGCTGCCCTGCTTTTCCATGGCTCTGCAGATCCTCGTGGCCACCGTCGCCTACTGGTAACCAACGCGGGCGCCCAGACCCCAGCGGGGCTCCCTCGGGAAGAAGGGGCCCCCTGACCTCCTGCTCTCTGCTGCTGCTTCGACGCAAAGATTTCCCCATCCGGGCCAGATGCTCCATGTGCCCTTGTGTGTGCGTGCGTTGTAGCGAGGCAGCCTGCACTGCAGGGACACTCCACGAAGCTCTTGATAATGTCCTGGTGTCTGCAGCCTGGCAGGGAAATCTGCGGAGAGCAGGGGAAACTCCTCCTTTGGGGCAGGAAGGGGCTGCTGGGGCAACTTGCTCGTGGTCTGGGTAGGGATGGGAAGGGAGAAAGCGCATATATGTGCCTCTAGATCAAGAGGATTCGTTGAAGGAAAGAAGGCTCGCTGAGTAATTGGCCCAGCCTCGTGTGAGGACTGAGAAGAGGATGAGGTGCCCTCTCCCCTCGGTCAATAATACCCCATGAATCGGGATGGAGGAGCCACAGTGGTCCCAACTGTGCTGCAAAGCTCTTGCTGCAGAGGAGAGTCAGCAACGCGATAGCAACAGGGGTTTGGTTATTTGGTTGTAAAACCAAACTACCTCCTTGAGCCTGGCTTGGGGGCCTCGCTCAGCTTGATTCCTAGGCCAGTTTTGGTTTGCAGGGCAGAAGGGGGGTTATGAGGAGGCAGAGAGGGGCAGGTGTCTGCCAGGATGCGTAACACGGAAGTTGAAACCCCGGCGGTGCTGTTGTAAAGCAGAGCAGCACTCGTTGCTTCCGGCCCGTCCTCTTGTCTCGTGCCAAGAAAGGCAGCTTTGCYGCAGGAGGAGCCGCGGAGCCCCGCGGAGGCAGGAGCCCCTCGCGCCAAGGCCGCCCCGGGGACGCAGCCGGCCGTCAGCAGGTCCCGGCAAGCGGCAGCCGCGGCTCTGTCTGCTGCGGCCGGAGCTCTCATCATCAGTGGTCTGCAAATGAACAGAACCAGTGCCTTTCTGCAGCCCTTGCAGGCCGACAGCAAGGARAAGAGGCTGCTCGGAGCTTTCAGTGCCATCTCCTTGTGGCAGGGTGCAGGTAGCCAGCAGAAACCGCTCAGCGCTCAGAGCTGTACCCACATACGAAGCCCAAGGGACCATTGGAAGGATCAAGGTGTTCACAAAGCAGTTTTGCAGCGTGCACAAAGATATCTGCGCCCACATGCTTGTCGTGCTTGGAAATGCTTCTGGGCAGGCAGGACATTTTTTCCTCCTCTGTTTGCAGCCTTTCTCTGCCTGTAGCTATTCAGGGAATGCACCGTGACGGCTTTCGGGGTATTTTCTTCCAGCTCTTTCCTACTGTCCGCTCTTACTCAGCACGGAGTAACGGGTGCCAGCCCGAAGGTCTGGAAAAGAGCYGAGTGGCTTTGAATGCTCTCCTGAAGCTGTGGCCCTGCAGGAGGAGGATCCCACTGCTCCACAGCATTGTGTGAAAGCAGCTGTGTCRGGGTGCAGAGTTTGGGCCCCGCATATTGCAGGGTCACAGATCCCTGTACACGTTCCTGCGGCGGTGCCGTCCTCAGCACTGAGAGCGGGTCCAGCAAAGAGCAGCCCGCGACGGAGCAGCCCCTGGAAGGACGAGGAGGCTGCTGGTGTTCGGCACCTCCTCTCTGCTCTGAGGCAAGGCAGGTTTCACTAAAATCACAGAGGAAAACCAGAACGAGCAGGAAATCGAGCCTCCTTCCACCTGTCCTGGACACTAAAGCTCTTCCTTAAGCCAGCCCTCCTGAGATGCTCTCACCAAGATCTCCTGAGATGATCTCACCAAGATCTCCTGAGATGATCTTACCAAGCCCATCAGCACAAACCAAGGGGTGGAACAGCAGCTCCCGCTGATACTCGTGAACACTTGTCCATCTTGGTAACAGCTTCTGTGCAATAGCTCCTGCTCTTGGGATAGATGGGGCCTCAGACTTCATGCTTGGGTCAGGTTTGGAGCCGAGGGCTCTGCYTTCTCCTAGGGGAAGCAGGGTCCTGGTGCCAAAAGTCAGGAATACTGCAAGCTCAGCAGTTTGCTTTTGGCTACTTCTCAACAGATATCTGTATAATTCCCCTTTTAACAAGTATTTTTTTTTTCTTTTCCCTCCTCATATGGTCAACAAGGTCGCAAACTCCTGTATATTTCTCTGCTGCTGCATATGCATCCTGGTGGCAGGAAGCAAATATTCCCAATAAAAACAAATTATTGTACGCACATACATCCTTCCGTGGGGAGCAGCTGGGCAGCAGCTGGGGCCAGTCCCAGCCTTGCACGAGGCTGCAAAGTGCTTAGCTAAACCCCGGGACTCCSCAAAGAATCAAAACTTCCCTCTAGGCCCACGTGCCCATCGGAGAAGCTCTTTTCCAGGTGTGTGTGACCTTCCAGGTGTGCTGATCCCTCCAATTTAGCAGAGTTGGGAAGCGAGGCTTGTCAAGCAGCTGTTCTTGGCTTTGCTTCCCAGAGCAGCAGCTTGTCAGGTTTGGAGTTGACCTAACTCATTCCCATCCCAGTTCCCTCAAAACTGTTGGCAGGAGGTGTTTTGCTTGGAAGAAGTGCTCTTTGAGCCTCGCCTGGCCAGGAAGCTCTTCCCTGCAGAGCCAGGATGGTGCTTAAACCGCGAGGGCTGGAGAAGTACAGGTGAGACCTGGTTGCTCCCCTTCCTGCACTTGCACATTACTGTGGAGCCTCTCACRTTTTCAGGGTTGTCAGGCACCTCATTTTTCCCGTGGAACCTTCATTTCCCTGTTTTCCCCCTAATTTCTGAAAGCCTCTGGGTTTGGGAGGTGCTGCCCCATCCCTGTTAGCTGATCAGGATGGGTGGCTCTATGGCAGACTTCCCCCTCGAGGCCTTTCTGCTTGCAAGTAACAAAGGCAGCACCTTTATAAAGTGGACTCTCTCCAGGACACGTTCCTGTGTTCAGAGGTGAACCTTGGATTGGGGCTTGGGGAGGCCAAGAAAGAAACTGGGCTCCAAAAAAGCCCTTCCCACAGAGGTGCCGGCTCCTTGAGTCTCCTTGAAACTCCCTGCTCGGTGCCTGGGGCTCAAGCCCCGCTTGGGGAGGCTGAGATTACATGCAAAGCTGTTTTCTCCTCTTTCTTTCCTTTTTTAATTTTTTTTTTTATTAAAAAAATAAACCCTGCTGTCCTGGCTGCAGGGAAAAGCTTGGGAATGTGAACTCTCCCGGCTCCAGAAAAACAAACAGAAAAAGCCCACAAGGCAAACTCCAGAGAGGCCGGAGCACTGGGTTGTTTTGAGATGTTTTGGAGGTCCGTGGGAGGCGGGAGGGAGCCGGATGCTTCGCCGGGCTGCCCGGTTGCTCCCGAGCGGAATGGGGAGCTCCCCAAAACAAAACGGGTCGGGGTATCCCCTGGAGAGTGGGGTCGGGCAGCAGAGCTGGCACCCGGGACGTGGCAGGAGCGGTGGGTGATGGAGCGGGGTGTCCATCCTCCTCCTGATTGGAGTTTGGGATCATCCACCAGCGCATGCCAAGCTCCTCCTCTGCAGAAAGAGGGATCCAAAGGAGCCGGGCGTTCCCGTGCCGGAGCGGCAGCRTCCCGTGCGCTGGGCTGCGCTGTGGCTCTTGTCCTTGTCCCACTGCCTTTGTGCAGCTGCCTCTTGGTGCACCCCCAAATAACCCACAGCCTGGCGGGGCGCCAGGCTCCTGATCCATAGGGAGGCTCCCTCGGAGCAGGGACGGCCTCCAGCCTTCGCACGGCTGACGTTGGCACCTGGAAAGCCTCATCCTTTGGGCTCTTCCCTACGTGGAGCCAGACCGGGATGTGCCCCGTTTGCAACGGGCTCCTCTGCCCGGCAGTGACAGGGGTGCCCGGTAGTGAAGCGGCTCGACCTGGAGTGCCGGCTCGTTCCCGGTCTGCCATCCATGGGAGCTCCCGGTGCTCTGAGCCACCCCAGGGGTGAAGCGGCTCGGACTGGGGTGCCGGCTCGTTCCCGCTCCACCATCCGTGGGAGCTCCCGGTGCTCGGAGCTGTGCCAGGTCCCGGCTGCTCYGTGATGGAGCGCACGGCAGGGAGCTTCCCAGGGCAGGCAGGAGCCGCATGGAGGACTCCTGGCGTGGATTCGGAGCGGGATGACGTGCCCGGCGGTGCTGAGGGGTCCCGGCTGCCGCGGCTGGTGGCATCAGGCCTGGAGGGAGCAGCCGGGGATCCCTCAGCATCTCCGCCACCCCAGTGGCACCCGTGTCCCCGCCAAGGCCGGTGTCCCCACGGGCGCCGCGCTCCCAACGCGGTGCTGCAGCACCCTCGTGTGGCAGCGGCACTCGGGGACCCCGTCACCCTCCTGCAGCCCCCGAGCAGCCTCTTCCCGGCTGCCAGGGGTCCTTCCCCGGCACCACCCGTGATCCCTGCGCGAGACCAGCCCCCGGCTTCAGCAGGGCTCCGAGTGCGGAGGTGGATGCTGAGGGGCGCACACGGGGCCTCGCTTCCCCTCGAGATGCTCTTCCCTCTTCCCAGCCACGATCCATGTCTCCGGGTCGCAATTCCCGCTTGGCTTTAGCACCGCTACAAAGCAGTCCTTGCCTTCCCGCTCCTTCCCAGGCCATCACGGAGCGCGGCACCACGGTCATACCTAGGACCAAGCTGCTTCCCATAGACTTCCCTTCTCGACAGGTCTTCTCCTTCTGGGATGTGAAGCAGCAAGGAGCAAAATACTAATTGCAGTGTGGAGATGCTGATTGCTACCTGAGCCTGGAGCCTGGGGTGGGCAGGACAGGAGGTCCCCACGTTCCTCTCCTATGTGCACCCGTTTCTGCAGCATCCAAGAGCAGAGGGACCCTCAGGGCCYGGGGTCTTCCCTTTGCCACTAGAGGGAGAGGACTTGGTGACACCGAGGAAGGGTGTTTTAACCGCTAGATGTCTGTCTAAGTCATCCTGGAGGGGAAAATCCAGCCTGGCATCCTCGCGCATCCCGGCTCACTGGAAAATGTGAGCTCTGTTTTGTCTCGCTGCCGTGGCTGATGACAATACGGAATTGCTTTCGTTAAAAAAAAAAAATCGCAGGGGCAAATTTCAACTTTTCATCGGCCGCGAAGCCGCGTGCRGCTCCGGGGCTGCGGGAGCAGAAGCGAGGAAAGGGGGTGCCGGAAAGTCCTCCCGGCAGCTGCGATCTGCCATTTGGGAGTCAGCTGTGCCGAGAGCAAATGTTGCAGGGAAGGAAACACGATTTGCAAACAACGTCCCCGCAAGCAGGGCCGCGCGTGCGGATGGACGCCAGCTCTCCCTCGGGAAGCTCCCGGCCGCTTCTGGTGGATGAGCCCCTGACAGACCACTTCACAGGAGGGAAAACATCCCTCTGTGCTGGAAAAACCAAAGGAAGCGGCGCGGGGCCTTTGAGCTCTGCTGCCTTTGCATCCTCCTGGCCACAAATCGCTCCCCGTGGAGCGCAGACCCTGCTAGGTGGGTTGCAGCCCCCTCTACCTGCCCGTCCTCTGCTTTGCAGAGCCCTGGGATGTCCTGCACGGAGACCTGGCAGCCCTGCGTTGAAGCCCACCGATCCCTCTGGAGCTGAAGCTTGGACAGGTCAGGCAGGAAATAAGGGATGYATTTCCAATCCAAGCTAATGAGTCACTGGAGGGATCTGCCCTGGGATCTGCAAACCCTTTGCTTCCAAGGGACCCCTGTCAGGGCGGGATGTCCTCCAGAGAGGTGCTCTGTGTTGGCCACGTGCTGGGGACTTGGGTGACATCCCCTGCCTGAGGTGAGCCACGAGGCTGGGCCAGCGACCGTCACAATCTAYGTGTAATTTGCTAATGAATTGTGAATTAATAAGTGATTGCAAAGCATGAGTGTTAGCAGTGGTTAAGCTGCTGGTGTGAGGGGACTGCAGCTTGTCAAGCAGCCCAGGGTGGCTCTGGGGACCTTCTCTTGCGCGCCCCGATTTCCTGGTTGCTTTCACGTTGCAGAAGGCTGGTCTGTGATGGGGACCCTTGGGTGGCCGCACGAACAGCAAGAGAAACGGGGCCCTGAAGCCAAGTGCCGTGCCGAAATCTTCCCGCTGTTCTTTGGCCTCGGGGCTGCCGCTGTCCGCAGGGCTGCCCGCCTGGCACTTGGAGACCACAGGGAACACTGGGGCTGCACCAGGACCATTCGTGCTCCCTTCAAGGTCTTTTCAGTGCATCCGTGCTTCATTTTCCTGCCTTTGAGGAAGAAGAGGGACAGAGACAAATTCTGTCCACGAATAGCTAGAAGTGAAGGAATTTCTCTTTTTTTCTTTAATGTTTGGAGGTTTGGCACTGGGCAGCTCTGGACAACGGGAATGTGATCACAGAGGGATGTGCTGCCTTGGCACCTCTTAGTTCCCCGGCAGCGGCGAGGAGCAATGGAAAAAGGAGGAAGGCCCRAGGAGCAAGGCACATACAGGACATCCTTTGGCAACACGAGCCCTCCCGGCTTCTGGAAATCAGCAGGACGGCAATTTTCTGCACACGCATTTGAATTGCTGCCATTTCTCACTGGCACTGAGATCCACCCCCCGGTAACTCTCGAACCCTCTTTGAATCCACTTTATGTCTTTGATCTCYGCAACATCCTGGATCCGTGGGTTTCAGCCTGTAGCCGTGCTGCAGGTTTCCACGGCACTTGTCAGGACACTTTCTGCCCTCTTTTCCCATCTTTCCCTCATAATTCCGGCCGCTTGCTCCGCTGTTTGACAGCTCCTGAGCTCTGCAGCAGCCCAGTTCCCCCATGTGCTTCTCTGCACCTCTCAACCTTGCGTTTCCTCTGCCGTTTTATAGCTCAAACTCCACGAGGTCCCCGAGATCTTTATGGGCAGTGTTGGCTTTGGCCACCCTGGGCTATTTGGGGTCATTTTGGCCTGGCCACCCTGTCCCTTTTGCCATGACCGAATGCCCTGTGCCCATGTGGGCTTCGTGCCTGGGAAGCTCTCGCCAATCTATCAGCTGATCCGCTGCGTCTATCCTAATGTTTATTACTGTTTAATTAGTTATTCCTGCAGAATCCAACTTTCCACCCCGTTTCCCAACAGGTTTGTGTTTGGAGGGACCTGGAGGATAAAACCTCTGTGGTGCCCAACTACCAAGGGTGCTTTGGTCCSCCTTCCGAACCCCAAGGAGATGCTCCAGGTGGGCAAGTGGATCCCTGGCGCTGGCACCGGAGCTGGCGTGCAAACCTGGGCAYGTAGCATTGCCCACCATGAGCTCCCTGGATTGCAATGGAGAAGTTGGGAATGGTGGGAAGGCTTTCCCGTTGCAGGAATGCTGGCGCGGGGCAGGTTGCGAGCGSCGGAGCTCCCTTCGGACAGGGGTGAAGGCCACGTCCCCATCACGTGCGCAGACACGTTCTTACTCAGTAAAATATTTATTTCTCCATTATTTCACAAGAGTTGTTTTTTTTACAAAAAAAAAAAAATTACAAAATTTCCAAAACATAGACATGCAGAAAAAAAAAAAAAAATCCACTGTAGATCTTGTTACAAGTAATTGCAATGTACAAATAAAAAAGGAGAGAGGGAGCGAGCTTAGATTACAAAACTGCCTCCCTCCTGCTCTCCTTCCATGGGTGCAGTTTGTGTCCCGGCTCCGTGAGCCTCTGGCACTGATGGACTCTCTGGGACRAGTTGCCAAGAGCCCGGCGAAGGAGAGGCCCTAAGCTCAGGCGTGAATGTTTTCAAATATATATATACATATAGATATTTAGTGAAGAAATATTTATTCCCTGCTTTTTTTTTTAAGGTTTACAGAAGTGGCATCTGCAAACTATTAAATGGGTTTATTTTCATTAATGCTCTCAAAGAGGCAGCGACATTTATATCCCTGTGGTTTCATCTTGTATAACGGGGGGGAAAAAAAGAGCGCTGTGCTTTCCATGGGAATAGGAAGCCCAGCATTCCCCGTCCCGCCCCAAGCGGAGTTTCTCATGGAGAGGGTTTGGATGTGCGGCGGCTCGGCCTCCTCCCCGGGCTGCCGCGTTGGCTGCATCTCGCTGCGGTGCTCCGGGCTCCTTATGGTTCCCCTCGGCTCCCTGTTGCYGTCCGGGGTTGCAATAAGGGTGAGGGATGCCGGGTGGGTGTCTAAGGAGGCTTTTCTACCTCGATTGTGTTGCCCCTTGGAGAGGAGGGCTCTGCTCCCGACCCTGGTGGGCTTGCGGCATCCCTGAGAGACCAACGCTTGGGGTTCGCTGTCTCTGCTCAGCAAAACATCCTCCCGTTGCTGCTGAATTCCCTGCTCCGAGCGGGTGCTGCTCAGGTGAACACGACGGCTGTAGCCGCCGCACCAGGGATGGATGGAGGCCAAGAGCTCTTCTCCATGGGGACGAGTCCCAMGTGTGGGATGGCGGACAGGGCGGTGCGAGCTAAAGGAGGTTGTCCATGCGGTGGGAGATGCTCTCCTGAGGACTCTCGCTCCTGCTCCCTTTCCCTGGCAGGGCTGTTTAAACCTTTCCCACTGGGGCAGAGCACTGGGAGCTCCCACAGGCCCTGGGCTGGTGCCACGTGCCCACGTCCTGCCTCGCAGCCAAGAGCCCTTTCGTTCAGCTCCGTGGTGGGGAGAGGCAAGGGGGGAAACGTTCCCTTTCTGCAATAATAATAATAATACAAAAATAAATGGAGGCGCCAGCCCCAGACTCCTAAACACATCTGTGAAGCTGCCGAAGGGGAGGCTGTGCCTCCGGAAGACGAAGCCGGCTTTGCCGTTGGCACGGAGCGCGGGGAGCCGCCCACTCAGCTGAAACCAACAGCTTTTTCCAATTTTCTCTTTCCCTGGGACAGTTCAATGACCTGGGGCTCTGCAGAATCGCTGGCAAATTCATGGGCCCGGAGCCAGGGGGGCTGTTTGGAACATTACGGTCCCCCTGCCGTGATGGCTCACAGGCTTGGAGCGCTTGGAGATGCTCCAACCATCCCCACCTCTTGGGCCCAGGTAGATCCCCATCGTTTCAACTCATGCTGACACGGGCAGCTCCTAAACAGCGTGCAGGAGGACAAYGAGGACGTATCCTTGCACCGTTGTCTTGCACAAGTCTCTGGTGAGCGTTGCACTCGGCGGTGCACAACTAGGCGAGCGCGTGGATCACCCTTGGCCAGGCTATTGAGCAAAGCGAGTCCGATTGCTGAGCAGCCCAGAGGGAAGGGGGCTCTGCACAACGGCCTCATGTGTCGTGATCCTCTCACCACTGAATGTTGTCCCSGCGGGAGCAGAAGACCCAAGAACTCGTTGGCTCTCCAGGCAAGATACCCAAATTGGTCAAAACCAATGGTCCAAGATCCTCCCATGTTTGGAAGCGAATTCTTGTTAGCTTGGCAAGTCTGTTTATCCTCCAAGAGTGTGGGGGGTATGTGTGTGTATATATAGCCTTTATTATACGGATGTGCTGAAAAGCAAGTTTCTACCCAAGTTAGCTCCATATGTGTCTATAATTATGTGCCGCTTTGGACTGGGACTGGCTCTACCTTCAGAAGGGGAGAGGAGAGGAGAGGTGCTGAGACGTCGGATGAGTGGTACTTGGGTTGGGCGGGCGCTGGGTTTGTCCGAGCCCGGCACAGGAGCTCCACATTGGTATCTTGGATGAGGGCACCAGAGGGGTTCTGCCCAAGTCAGTTCACAGTTGGCACCTGGTTCTGATGCAGGCTGAACTCTTTGGCCTTGAGGCGTAGGCTGGCGATGCTGTTGGCCATGTTCACTCCTTGGGCGGGCGTCGCGGTCCCACTTGAGCTGTAGGATGGCACAGTGCTACGAGGGAGAAAGAGTGGAGAGGGATCAGATGTCGATGCCACCCATGGAGAAGCCCCAGCGCCCATGGCAGCTCTGGAGCTAAAAATCACCACCAGCTTCATTCATTTTTCGTTCGTCGGCAATCTGAGCTCCCTTGACCTTTTCCCAGGGCATATTGGCTGCTCTCTGTTAGTAGGCATCTCCCATAAGAGCAGTCAAGGTTTCAGCATTTTTATGTGAATCCATTGAATGCATGTGGGAAGCCCTCAAAAAATGCGCCAGGAGGCCCTTCCTCTGGATTTTGGACGTGCTGGCTGGACAGCCAAAGCTGGGAACCAAAGAAGGGACCTGTTCCTCTCCTGCACTGGGATGTGGGAAGGGTCARCACAACACCAAGTGAATCCCTCAGGAGGACTGTGCCCATGGTCTGAAATGCTCGGATGTAGGGAAATCTGCAGTGGGAACTTCCACAAAGCCTCTTCTGTGGTGGGCAGAGGACACAGTGGGGGGAGCAGCACTGGAAGACGTTCCAGAATCAAAGCCAGGCGGGCTTCTTGGCTGATCCCTGCTCCTTTCTAGCTCCCCTGTCTCTCTTTCAGACCCACAAAGCTGCCTGTGTCCTCACCAACAGCTCAGGGCTGTGCTCCSTTGGGAATCTCTGGCGATGGTTTCCCCCAAGGCCACGTGCCCTCCCATCCATCTTCACAGTGCAAGGCGTAGCAAAGCCTGGGTTTACCTGTACGGAGAGGTGCTCGTCCAGGAGAGATATTCTGGGGTCAGAGCGGAGGGCCGCGGGGCCATGGGCTGCTCAATGGCTGCCTCTTGGCTGTAGGATTTGAGGAGCGATGCCGATCTGTTGGCCAACATTGCCCTCTCGTTACGGCGAAACTTGGCCCTCCGGTTCTGAAACCAAACCTGGGTGGAGATGAATGTGGTTAGTGCGAGTGGACACAGAAAGGGGTGGTGTGGGTTGGAGGGATGTCCCCATGTCCCTCCTGCCAACCCTGACTTGGGTCCCATTGGAATAAGGGAGGGGACGGTTCCTGCTCTTGTTCCTCTTGTTCCTGCTCTTGTTCCTTGTGTTCCTGCTCTTGTTCCTTGTTCCTGCTCTTGCATGGAGGCAAGAGGCAGAGGGTTTTGTCTTCTCCCACACAGACCTTTGCTCACCTGGACTCGCGCCTCGCTGAGGTTGACCCTCCTCGCCAGCTCCTCTCGCACGAAGGCGTCGGGGTAGTGCGTCCTCTCAAAGACTCTCTCCAGAGCCTGGAGCTGGCTGCTGTTGAACGTGGTGCGGTTCCTCCTCTGCTTCTTCTTCCTCTTGGTGGCCCCGCGGCTTGGGCTCAGGCTCTCACCTGAGGAAGTCATAAAAGAGGCAGCTCATGAATCAGATCTGTGTGTGAACCTGCTCYACACAGCGGCCTCGGCTCAGCAAGGCCAGGTTGACCTTCCTTGGCAAGACTCAGGGATTTGCTCAGATAACAGCAGTACTGCCTGCTCATACGTGTAGTTTTACAGGGAGCAAGATACGTAGAACCGTATGGATTCTGCCTATAAGAATCAAAACCTACTGAGGGAGGTTAAGATCAAAATGTGCCAAAATTGAAGAGATTTTGGTGCCTGATTAAGCCCACCCAGGAGTGTGATTTTGAAGCCCAGCCTTTCTAGATTGGGTTGGGGCAAAGCAGCGCTTCCACAGGGGTCTGTCTCAAGCTTGGCTCTTCCTAAGGGTTTAGGCTGAGTTTTCTTTTGGGCGGCAAAAGAAGTTGAAAGCCAAAAGGTCCTTGAGATGTTGGTTAAAGCTCTCAAACCCCAGCAGTTCCTGGAATTCTGACTGCGGCAAGTCTGTGCAAGGTGATACGGGACTAGGACTGGGCAGTTRCTCATAAAAGATGTCTTCATAGGTAGGAACCAAGGCTACCATGTTTCTTGGAGATCATGGGCCCATGTTGGCCATGCTTTGTTGGCCCATGGAAACATGAAGCTGAGGGCATAGTCTGTCTTCTCACTGTTGATCTTGTGCTTTCAGCCTGAGATTAATCCGGTCTTTGTCACTAATATTATCAGATTAGGTAAATTTACGGAGTCTTCTTCTGGAATATCTAGTGAGTTGCCTGTGAAACCGTCGTGGGGAATACCTCTCGCTGGTTTTTGTCTATATGGAGACACTGCTTAATTATTCTTTCCCTTAATAAAGCATCTGGATCCAATCTGTACCTACTGGTGGGAAAGTAGTTCTTGAGATTTTTGAAATGTTAATAGGTTTGTGACTTTGCTCTGATTCATTGCAGGGTTATAGTGGGGTTTTCTGCTCTRTGTCAAAACGAGAGGCTCTGATGGCAGGAATCCCTGCATGCACTGAATAGATATCTTGGTTCTTATGAAATAGATGTGCCGCATTTTCAGATGATAGTTGAGCAAGTAACAAAATTTACTGGAAAGGATATTGGATCTCCTGCTTCAAGACACTATTGAGATGGGAGGAAACTTCAGGTTTCAAGATCTTTAGGGCGAGAAACACCTACTTGGGCCTTAATTCTGAGTTCCAGAGTCCTGAAAATGCCTCCAAAAAGTTCTCCATCAAGTCTTTATGGTCCATTTATACTACAGTGCATCACTGTCACAGGCTGTCCCATCCCATTCCAAGCCGGAAGACAGACCCAGGTACCTGCGGGCAAGTTATCCTTGGGACTAACCACCCTTCCATCAAAGTCAAGATCCTAATTTGTACCTGCAGAGTTTCTCGCACTTTCCTTTGGAAAATCTCTTGCTGGTCAATGCCAATCCCAGCACCTTGGTGCCAAACACAAGCCARGGCAGCAAAGCAGAAGAGAAACAAGGGTTAAGTTTATTTCCAGCATTGGCAGCGGGCTCATGGAAAGRGCGGATTGCTTCCCTGGCGCTGTGTAGAGCGGGGAGCGGAGCCAGAGCCTGGGCGTGYGGGGTGCCTCGAGCACCATGACCCATTAAGGGCCTGAGCGTTGGGTGGAAGGAGGCACCGGCCCCGCGGGGACCTGGCAGCCCCACCTGGGCAGGTCCCATGTCCCGTGGGATGTCCATGTCCCCCGTGTGCCATCCATGGGACCTGGGGCCATCCAKGGACCGTGTCCCATCCATGGGATCAATGGGCCCTGCATCATTTAGCCACGGTGGGGCCAAGCTGCACCGCAGAGCAAGGAGAGCATCCCAGGACTGGAAGAGTTGGCTGGGAAGAAAAGCAGATCCAACCGAGTCCCGGGGGCTCCTTCCAGCTGCTGGAGCCGGGCAGCGCTTTCCCCAACTCTCCTCTTCGTTTTCTCGATCCCTTGTTGGCCATCGGGATCCTCCTGGGCTGGATAGGGCCAAGCTGCGCTTGGGACACGGGCGCTCTTGGAGAGGGAAGGAGGCCCTGAAGGGCGCCGGGTCAGGGACACGTGCGGGTCGGAGGCTGCCCCTTCCCTGCCGAMCACAGCTGCCCTTCGCCGCGCTTCGTGCCGACGGCTCGCAAATAAAATTCCGCGGATTCCCTCCAGCCCGGCTTTCTGCAGCTCCAAATGTCCTGCCGGGCTCCGCTTTCCAGTCGCCCCTTTTAGTTAAGCTCCTTTTTTGGTCCTGTTTTTCCTTCAGCGAGCTCACGAGCCGCTGGGTTCAAATAGGAAAGTCGAGTCGCGGTTGTCCCCAAGCCTTCCGGGAACCCGAGAGTCAAACGGGAACCRTCCGTGCTGGGAATGGCCTTTGGAGCCTATTGGGCCAGCCAGGCTCCTTTGAGGGCCTCTGATTCCCCTGGGAGCTTCGTGGGGAAACTGAGGCACGGGGCTTGGATGGGGCCAGGCTGTCACCAAGGGCACCCACTGCCTCCCGCYGAACTCGGTTATAGCAACGACTTCAAGGGAGCCCTATTAAATACAAATATAATTTATAACCCCCGGTTGGGTTCCTCCCAATTTACAATCCAGCCACGGGGCTTTGTCCACGAGCGATGGCTCCTCTCACCCACCCAGATTTGGCTTGAAGGAACCAGGAGCACCCTCGCTAAGCCTGGCCTGGGCTCTTCATCGCATCCCCCTGCCTAGAAACCCTTTTTTTGTGTGTTTTTCCTCCCCATCTCCAATGGTTTCCTGCCCCATTCGCAAAGGTGACGGACCCGGTGCGGCTCCGTCGCGACCGTGGGGACCTCGCCGAGCGCGAATCCAGGTCGCTTTTCCACCTCTTSCCCTTTTTTTCCCCCTGTTCCTAGCGCTTTTCCATAGGAAGCGCTCACTGGGTTTGCCACRGCAGGGCTCAGGGCGGCTCGTGGAGGCCGAGGGCGGTAAATGGGCRATTTTCACTCCATTCCCACTGAGGCTCCGCGTTGGACAAACCCCGCGGACAAGCCCTGGCCCTTCCCCATCCCSGCGGCCCCACGGCCGGAGCACCCAGCTGCTTCCCTGCCTCCCACCCGGGGATGGATCCCTTTCAGATGGATCATCCCTGCATCCCTTTTGGATGGATCCTGCAACAAGCCAGGGCCAATTCCCTTCCACCCTGCCTCCTTTTCCACCGCAGACCCCACAGGTTTTGCCATTAAATCCTTTCACACGTTCCAGTTCTATGGGAGCCAAGGACCTTTTAAGCTCTGCATTTTTCACCCCTCCGTCCCTGCTAGCCAAACGATCGACTCTTCTGCACAAACTACTTCCCTTCTCCTGCAACAGCAGTTTCTTTTTCCTCTTCTTCTTCTTCTCGGGTATAATTTAAGGGTTGGAATAGCCTGGAGGGAATTAGCTGTAAATTCTTCCTAAGACAAATAAATTCAGCCCTCTAAGTTCCTACGGTTTTTTTTCAGACTGTTGAGAGACGTTTTGGGTTTGTTTTACTTGAAATAATGATCACGGCGTATCTGACCCTCGGGCTGCGGCCAGCTCCTAACCAAATAAATAGCTTTTATTAATTAAGGTTTATCCTTCGCAAATAAAACCCCAATTTGATCTCGGCCGGCTGAATTAGCAAAAATAAACAACTGGTTCTCGGGGCACTTGATGTGGATTTAACAAATTAACACTGGGCCTTCATCAGGGAAGCCGCAGGGTGGCGGGGGCCTTTTACAGCCAAGAAATCCCTTGGAAAAACAATGTCTTTCGCTTCTCCCATGGCCGCTCTCGGGAAACATGTGGGCTCCCTTCATCCCTTCCCTTTCCCAGGGGAACGCGGGCGCTCCGGCACTGACGTCCATGAGAGCTTCGTGTGCACCGCTTAACGGATCGTGCGGCCGGGAGGAAGCGTTTCCCTTCGGATCGATGCAACCGACGGTGTTTTCCACATTGCGGGTTTTCCCAGCGGCTCCTTTATCCAATCCGGGAAAGCACCGGAGCGCAGGGTTGTGTTAAGCTGGTTACACCCGTCCCGTGCTCATCCCGTTGCCTGGCCCGCCGCGAGCTTCGGAGCAAGGGGAAAAATGCACCGAAAGAGGCCAGGGAGGCAGCGCGGAGGCTCGGGATGGAGAGAGGCCGGGGGGCTCCAAATGTGCTGAGTCCTAAGGAAACTTCCCCGGCTCGCGCGGCGCGCATGGGAAATTTAAGAGCGGGGCAGGTCTCTGCTACTGGAGACACGTTACGGAGAAATGTTTCCGAGGAGGTTTCACCTCATTAATTGTGAAAAAGCTGAAACGCTGACACGTTTTCCGTAACGCAGCCGGAGCCGCCGGCTGCTCCGGGCTCTGGATCTGTCCCCGCATCCTGCCCTGCATCCCGTCCCCACATGCCATCACTGCATCCAAATCCCATATCCTGTCCTACATCCCAGCCCATCCCTGTTCCCGCATCCCATCCCATCCCTTATCCTAGTCCGCATCCTCACATCCCATCCTCACAGGGATCTAACCCACAAGTTGCTCCCGGCTGCTCTTCAGATTTGCCAAGGCACCAGGCTCTGATCCTGCCTCTTTTCCCCCAAATCCCGCTCCGAGCAGGATGCCACAAGGAAAGGCAGTTGCAGAGATGCTCGGGGCTGCCTTAAGATCCGGCGCCAAAACCCCAGGGACGTCGCGAGGCCACCGCTGTTGACACCAGGTACCACCAGGCACCTTTACACCCCAAACGCTCCTCAAAATCCCRGGCATTTCGGGCCATGCTGGATTTTGCCCCTCTCGTCCGCAGAGGGGGAACGTGGGGCTCCAGATGGGTCGGGAATGGGGCTCCAGACCGGCCAGGAATGGGGCTCTGGATGGGCCGGGAATGGAGCTTTGGCACAGGCGGCGTTCAGGGCACTAATTGCAGCGACGTTCCCTGCGGGAAGAGGGACAGCAGGGGATGCTCCCAGGGAGGAGAGGGGCACGGGGGTGCCGGGGGGAGCATCCCTGGCTTGTTGCTCCCACTTCCAGCGCCGTTCGCCCGCACTC